GGACCTTGTGGTCCACTAGACCCAAGTTTCTTCCCTATGTGGGAAGTTGTGAGTTCGAGCCACAGTGGAGGTGGACTATTGGTTCTTTGTGCTTCAGTAGGTTGAGAAAGTAGTTATGAACAGACACTCTACGTTGTAACAGAGTCAGTAGTACCCAAATTACTCTTATAGAGTCTAAGAGAAAATGTTTTAATATAGTTATCAAGAATATTTAAACTCATGACCTTTTTGAAATAATAACCACATAAACATACTAACTAACCCACTTTGTCTTTATCTAACATTTGCATATATATATATATATATATATATATATATATATATATATATATACACACACACAAAGGGATGGGAATGGGGGTGGGCCCCTTCCTAGCATGGGCCCTGGGCAAAGGTCTAGCCTGCCCTTGCCCAGGGTCGGGCACCTGGGCCTGTTGACGTGGTAAATACTAGAAGGTATGTAAATACATATTAGTATTGTCTATGGTGCAAGTATATGAGCTCGGGTACTAGGCAGTGGGTCGGACATTCACGAGCTAAAATGTATTACTAATGAGAAAGTCCAAAGGTATCCTCAACAGGCATTAAATGCGCTATTTATAGAGATCTAGAGAGAAAGCACCCCAGTGGTCGCCTTTTCTACGGAGAAGGCGACCTTGGTCTCATTGTCCGTGCGCCGGTCACTTTGTTGCCTGAATTTCTTTGACGGGTTGTTGAAATTATAATGAAATGTTATAGCAGATCATTCATCGATTTTTGGGCTTCATTGCATCAAAATAAATTTTTGATGAGTGTAATTGCACATTTAAAATGCTTAGGGGACTAATTGACTTTTCATCTAAAGTTCGAGGGTCTGTTATGATTCTGTTGGTCGCCCTTTGTCATAAAGTTTTCTTGTATGTGGTCCTCATGTATGTATTCATACTAACAGTAGTATTGCACAATATGGTACACACAATTCAACCCAAGTGCACACCAACTTATATATATATATATATATATATATATATATATATATATATATATATATATATATTTATTCATACACACATTAATTGATTACATTATGGCACACACACTTAAACCTAAGTACACACCCTAGTCTGTCGCATCAACCTGGTTTGTGTCTAATGTATGACATATTATGTGTTATACGCTTTCTATGTGCACATTGTGAAATACACTGTGACACATCAAAATTTCATGTTATTTCGTAATTCGGTTATTACAACATCATGGTACACACGCGTTAATCCAAGTGCACACCCTAATCTATCACATCATCCTAGTTTTCGTGTTTTCATACTAACAATATTATTGAACAATATGGCACAAATAGTTAAACCCGAGTGCACACCAACTTATTTTACGTGTTTTCATACACACACACAGACTCATTCTGAATATTGTGGCACACACAGTTTAACTCAAGTGCACACCATAGTCTATAACATCAACCTAGTTTTCGTCAATTCAATCTGTCAGTGTTTTTGCACAAAATGGCACACACGGTGTAACCCAAGTGCACACCATAGTCCGTCACATCATTCTGGTTTCTGAGATTTCATTTTGTCAGTATCACTGCACATTTTGGCACACACACATAAACCCAAGTGCACACCGATCTGTACTACGTCTTTTCATATACATACTAATTCTGCATATTATGGCACATAAAGTGTAACACAAGTGCACACATAACTCATAAGCCTTTTAAATCAAGTTATCCTACATTTGTTCATACACAAACATGCTTTATTGACGCTTCACACTTTGGGGTCTAGTACATCATTGATCCCCGCTGAAATATTCATTAAACACCCGGATGAACTCCCTGATGAGCCGTCATGATCTGCAAAGCACTGAAATCATTATTAATCAGATTTCGTTTCATCTATATGGCACAAACATTTTGTTTCACTTTGTGGTTATTTTGGCTTTTATATATTAGGTCATTTTTATCTTTCTTTATTACTTCATATTTAAACAACTTGTAAGTGACTCATGCTGCTTCTAGCTTTATGTATTAATTACTTTGGTAGATTATAGGTATCGATGCCTTGATCTACGTCGGCCACAAATGTGTTCCAACATATTCTTGCGACATAGTGTGGTGAAACTGATGCGAAGGTACTTGGAGGATGAGCATGGTTTTTTGGAGGTATTAAGTTAGTGATGCCATTTGAA